TTCCTCAAGCAAACAGATGAGGCGATAACTTCTGGCAAATTCAGCAGCATTATGGGAGGCTTTCTGCCATGAGTTTATTGTTCGCTGCTTGCAACACACTACCTGTAAAGATAAAAACAGAGATAAAAAGGAAATTATATAAAGAGGAACACTTGTATATCAGCCAGAAACCCAGTGTCCTCATATGGAAACCTTAAATTTGGGCTTTTTTGCACTTAATAAAGTGTTTTAAACACCGTAAATCAGTGACTTTGTTTTATGCTAAAATATACCTTATAGGATGGATATGAGGAAATACTTTAAAAAAATGTTCTCAGTTCAAATATAGTGCTTTTCTTTTATTTATCAGTTCAAACTAATTCCGAACAGCTAGGTGAAATCAGAAAACAAACAAAAACATCCCAAACAGAAGCTCAGGGCGATATTGGTTAACTTGCTTGCCATTGTAAATTTGGCCAACAGAGGCCGCCGTCTGACCGGTAACTATAGAAACAGTCCAACAAACAATACAAATGACCGCAACTTTCATCAAGATACTGTTAAAAAGGGGGACAACAATGAACCTAACAACAGAGTCAGCTCAGCTTGTAAAAACCCTGCTGGACCGACACCACCGCACTGAGAAGGCCGAGATGGATGATATCCCATGGGCTGCCTGCAAGGACTTCACAGTGAATGTCGGGGAAAAGCAGATTGGGGCTTACATTAAAACATGGGAGCTCCCCTCTTGCTGGCTGTACAGTGTGGACTTTGTCTGCTCAACCGAGGAGGAGCACCGGACCTTCCACCACTACCGGGCCCGATTCAGCACCCCAACACCGAGGAAGCCAATTCGGGGGACAGCTAGCGTCTACTTCGTCGTGGATGTATCGAAGGTTAAACCTCAAACTCTACCAGTGGAAGTCAGCTTCATAGTGGAGTCAAACAAACTGGTGCACACACCGGGGAGGACCAGGTTTAGAGAGAAGTGGCTGGTGGACGTCATAGAGAACAAGACTTTGCTCCAACAAATGGTAGACCTTTAAACCCAGCAGATAAAAATATCGCTCCTTAAGTTCCTGGGTGTTAGCTCTGCACTGTGAGTGTGCTTTTAAACTTCATTAGCACCCCACCACACATACTTCGAAACACAAAAAAGGCTAAATAACGACCATTATCTGTTCTCTGGGTCCGCTTTGTACAGTTTGTTTTGGCGCTAGGCGTCAGCAGAACCAATTCAAACGTATTAGTGACTAGAAAGCTTCTTATTTTATATAACACGCTTATGTGAAGGAATAAGCACCTGACCCATGATTTCTGAAAGCTAGCTTGCTAAACAGACGTCTAAACGTAAACATGTGACCCCGCTGGTACCTGACAGCAATACTAGTGAACATAAAACACCTACCTTTCTAACACTATTGGTGATAGCAACATGAGCAGATCGTCTCCTCACCTTCTGGAACCCAGAGCTCCTGGAGTGTTTCATTCAGTATGAGGATGGTACCTTAGAAAAAAATAAACAGGAAGAGTAGAGGAAGTTACGCATGTGGGCATAGTTCAGCGGACCGTTTCCCCTGCAGTGGTTTAGGTGTGCCACTAGAGGTCAGTAAAAACACATTAGGAATAAGGAGATAAGAGGAGCGTTACAACATCAGTTAAAATCTTGAAATCCTTTGAGAGCCACAGGTTTTCATTTCGAAAATGACAACAAAGAGTAAGGGTGAAGTTCCTTTTCAACAAAACCCTCTTTACTGTGTGCTATGATGGCAAAACACAACAAGAGTCATCTCTTTATATTGTAAGGTAAAGGCCCTGCAGTATTAGAGAAAAAATTCCAATAATCAAGCACTTTGCGAATGTGGAGGGAAGAACTCCATTTTAACAAGAAGAGATGTCTTCCTTGACAGAATCGGGCTCAGGTAGGGTCTGTCGTGTACAGTTGGGAAGTGGGGGAAAGAGAAAAGAGGAAAGAAAAAGACAGTACAGGGAAACAGGTTTGGGATCATTGTCTTGTTGAAAAAAGTCAGATACTTTCCAGGTGGTATTGCACGGTGGATCAAAATCTTTTGATGATCTTTACTTTTCTGTGTCCATTATTTCATTCATTTTGGTAAAACTAATGGAACACCCGTGTGTCTCTAAACCATGACACAGCCTCCACCATCTCTTCTGTACATACAGACAAAGATTTGAACCAAAAATGTCACATTTGTTGGGGTTTTTTATGTGTAGGATAGTGGATCAATAGCCTAGTAGTTAACAAATATATTTAACACATGACATATAACACTTTGGTACAAGACTGAGCACAATGTCAGGGTGGACTGCATCATTAAAGACACCTGGTATAAAAATCTATGGATCCATCTGCTGTGGCAACCCCATATGAAGCTTCTTGTGTAATTTGGCATACATCAGTCTTATGTCTTTGTTTCCCTTCATTAAGAATGGCTTCTTGACAGCCCCCCTGCCCTTTGACTGAGATATAAGTGATGTCTCTTTAAATGTCTCACAAGAAATTTCAAATAAACGTTTTTTTGTGATCTTTAACAATTAATTCTTTTTCTCCAGTTAATATTTTTTTCACTTAATATGTTTGGTTCAGTCAATGTGATGAATCTCTGTTAAGTCATTAAGGTTGTGTTATCTCATGCTCTTATTAATGCTTGGTTTAAATTATCTTTCCAAATTGAGGTAATGTTACTGATCTGGTCACGACACTATTGCACTATTGCTCATTCCAATATGGATGGTTTCACAGTAAACACTTTTAGACTTATAACTTTTAGACTGAAGAACCCCTTCCATTTGACAATAAGGCATCTATATTCATTAATTTTGGGGCAATAATCTACTGCTATTCTTATTCAATCTCACTTTTCTATTATCCTCAGTCTATGTGTCAGCTGTTTTTTGATTATACCAGGGAAACTACCACCAAGCCATATGCATGACTACTTCAGTAGCTCTTAGTACAAGTCACTGCATCAAAACCTAACCTTTTTAAGACAAAGATACGTGGTATTTAGTACTTTTTTTCAGTAGCTTGAAGGTCATTTTGGCATACAGTAAACGGTTGTTTTAAGCAACAACAAATTTACAAGATGCCGTTTGAGTAGCAGGACAGCCAAAAAGCAATAGCTTATCCTATTTGTCTAGTTGTTGCTCATCTAAATCACAAATGCAAAAAGTATGGACCTATGAGAGACGCTTATCTGTACGCTGAGTTTCCAAGGTCTGCGAAGGATATGGGCACAACCTTTAAAATCTCCCTAGTCATAGCAGATATTACAAGGTCAAACACAAAACAATCGACCTGCACATTTTAAAGAGACTCTGACATTTTTAAATGATTATTTTCATCTTAAAACAGAAGTTTTAAGAACTTCACACACAGGTTCGCTGACACTTAAAAAGTCAGTGTTCAAATAAACTTAGATATAAGTTTTAGATATATCTTTTATAATCTTTTATCATTTTAATCTCAAAAGAACAGCGTGGACAAAGTTCACCTGTCATGATGCTGCAGATAATCCTGATGTTTAAAAAAAGAATATTGATAACATATTTAATATCTCAAAAGATGTGTAACTGTTGTTTTTGCACAGCTTTTGTAGCGTTATAGACAACTCTCTCTGTCTGCCTTTGTTTCTTTTTGAGTGTTTTTCGTTTTTCAAAAAAAGAGAAAGCCCACGAGTGTTGGAAATGTGCTTCCTCCAAAGGGTGTCTGGAGTCTCACTTAAAGACAGCATGAGGAGCTTGGTCACCTGGGACGGGCTCAGAGTAGAGCCGCCACTCCTCCATATAGAAAGGAGACAGCTTAGGTGATTCAGGCATCTGACTAGAATGCCTCCTGGACGACTCCTAGGTGAGGAATTTCTGGCTTGGTAACACCTAGCTGTCTATAGACTGGACTGGAAACGCCTGGGTGTCTCTAAACTGACTTGGAAACACCTAAATGTCTCTAAACTGACTTGGGAATGCGTCAGTGTCTCTAGACTGACCTGGGAATGCCTGGGTGGTAATGTCTTTGCTTAGACTGCTGCCCGTGGTACCTGAATCTGGATAGGTATTAAAATAATGGATTGATGGATGGCTGGATGAAAGTAAAACACCTGGCTTGAAGTACCTCTTCAGACTTTTACTAGTTTAGGCTAAAGCAGGCTGTAAGAATGACTTAAAACACTTTTTACTGTGATCCACCAAAGAAGAAGAAAGCTGAGATATCTCTGAGATATATAGCAGTATCCCAATACTGAAAATGCACAGCAGCATTATTTCAATTCCAGTTTCAGAGGCATAAAGGCAACAACAGCAATTTGTGCTTAAATAGGTGCCAGCTATTGTGTAAAGCATCGTGTAAAGACAGCGATGATGATTTTCTTTCTCCAGCAGGTGGAGCTGAAGCACAAAGAGATATACTTAAGCTGGATCACCGTCATTTTCAAAACATGAGGAGAAAAACAAATGAACACATTGTCAGTAGTCTTCAGCTCAATTTCAAACCCAGAAAATCTAGACTTGTGGTCACCTGACCCTTGTCACTTGAATCTACACTGCACAAAAAATGCCCCTGCATGAAAACTGAATCATATGCTTAGTTTGCCATCATCACAATACACCTGCATCAATGTTCATTCAATACTCTTTTTGCAGACTAAATGTTTGAAGAAAAAAACAAAAAACAAAATGAATGAATGCACTGATACAACAGAGTTAAAATGGAGAGAATTTACCAGCAGCACATCAAGGTATCACAGTTTGTCCAGTTCTATTTATATTAATTCAGTCTTAAAACAAAACACAATTAAATGACTAATTGTATAACATGTAGCACTTAAGCAGCACACCAGTACATTAAATGTAAACCACTTAAATCTTGTGCAGCAAACTGAGTATAACAAAGGAAGCTGCCGACAGACCACACAGTGAAATGCAACAACGCTGCATAGGGCAGCAGTCAAATAACCATTAATAAGTTAGAAAGTTAAAACTGATCACAAGATAGTATAGAAAATTACTGTGCACAAGTCTTAGGCACTAAACATTCTCACAAATAATAGTTTTTATTTAGTAAACTTATATAAAGTGCAGTAATGCATTTTTGGCGTGGCCAACTTTGAAACAGCAAGAACAAGAAAACTTTCACAGTTTTTCAAGCTTCTCAGCAGAAAGGCCGTTCCAAGCATCTCAGAGAAGTTGCCCCAGCTCTTTTGCAGCACCTCAGATGCATCTGCTGCAGGGCTCTTGTTCTTTATGTCTCTGGATTGCAGTCATGTTGCAGAATTTGCGTCCGTTCAGATACCACATCTTAGGTTCCTAAAACTTCTGCACTGCATCCCGTAATAATAATAATAATAATTATGCACTGTAACAAAGCACTGAGAAGCTGTAATCCAGCTCCAGCAGGTGGAACCTTAAAGATGATCTGATACACGTGTGTAATAACAGAAGCAGGGAACCGTTTTGTAGAACACTGAGCTGGATAAAATGAGGCACAATGGCCTTCTTTCATTCATTCAATCAAACATGGACACCAGCCAGTTTTCCTCATCACTATACTGATAATAACCCAACAGGCATGTGCCACATTGTTCCACCCCACATTTCTCTATATAGGAATGCGTGGAGAGACAGTGATGTGTATGGTGGAGAAAGCTGTGAGCTTACTGAACATGAACTCTGTGTTTGCACAGCAGTCGTAATGGTTAAAAAAGAGGAGAAAAAACCCACATCATATAAGCTTCTGTTCAGACAGAAGTACAAAGGTTTGATGTTAAAGACGCAATAAATGGACCAATGATGAAAGCACATCAATGCCATGCTTATTTACTATTATTATTATTATTATTATTAGTATTATTATTGTTATCTGTCCCCCATTTTAACCACTTAAAGCTGGGATATGATCACAGGTGTGATAAGGTATGCCCATTTTTGTGTTATGTAAAACATATTTTGTGTTTTCTTCATTAGAATGCATTACACTTATTTCTGTGTTATAGTTTTATACATTTTTAAAACTGTAAATGAATACATGAATATATATTACATTGTTATTATTGTCATTTCTTTTTTTTTTTAGGTATTTGCTATATTATTTTGTTAGAAATTGTGTTTAAATTGTCTAAAACAGCCATGGCTTCATCCTTTGAGGATATGCATGGTCTGAGGCTGGTCTGACTTTATTATGTGTGTACGCATAAATTCAGGTCAGCATTAAGGAATCCAGCAGACATATGACTGAAGCGCAGCGTCTTCTGGTGTGCTTTGTGTAAGGTTTGTATGAAAGCATTTGCAACATTTCTACAAAAGCAAATTAACTGTAAGAATATATTAACATCTCGTTCCATCTTGTAAAAATTCAGACCAGCACAGATGATATACACTCTTTTAAACTTTCTGCTTCTCTTTAAAAACAGCACCATCCCTCTTCAGGAGGGCTACCTCGTTCTCCAGGGCACGGATCTTAGCCACCGTGCTCTCCTCCCTGCGATCCAGTTCTAAGATCTTTGCGTGCAAACTCAAGATCTTCCTCCAGAGCTCATCTTTGTCAGTATCCGGTCTGCAGTACGAATGCTCAAAAACAGAAACCTTCTCTTCATCAGTGAGTCCACTCTCTGCTAAAAAACAGCCTGTGGTTTTGTCCTTGACCAGTTCCATGGGGACAAAGCTAAAAGCCTGACCCAGCACTGCCTGGAATGCATCTCCATCCATGTTTGCCCCTGCATCAGAAAATGAACCTGGCTCACAGCACAATACAGTCACAGTGGACTCGGCCTGCTCTTCAGAACAGAGTTCCCTGCTTGGAGACTGTGCTGCCGTTTCACCATCAAGTGGTTTCTCACAAGCAGCAGTCTGTATCTCAGAACGTTCTAAATGAGAGTCCAACACTGCAGGTTCAAATACCATCTCTGTGCGCTCCCCAGACATATTGTTTATCACTGCTGACTGGGACTTTCTGCCTGTTTTGCTCAAAATGAGTGGCCTTTTTTTACTGGCAGGAGAGTCGAATGTTGCAAGCTCAGGATCACCGAGTGAAATGTTGGTTTTAGCCTTGAGGCTTCTTTTCAGGTTTGTCGTTTTCTTCTCATCGTCCTGGAATAAAAGATAAAAGGTCTTCATTAATGGGAACTAACAGAAAATCAACAAGTTTTGGCGCAACAAACGCGTGGTAAGAAACTGCTTAAATCCTTGCCTGCACTCTCTTCGTCACCACTCTTGTACCCTGTCTCTTGTTTTGATTGGTTGACCCCAGGTATTTAAACTCACCTGCCTTCACTACCTCTTTTCCTTGCAGTCACTGTTATAACATAGTACTAATATATACAAATATATATATAAATACAGGCTTAACTCCACAAGACCACGCTTTATACTCAAAGTTTAAGAAGTTATTAAGAAGCTAAAATTGTATTCTGAGCTTGATGTTTTCTAAATGCTGCAAGATACATACATCTTCACTAGAAGGAAAAATGGTGGGGATGGCTGTATTCTTCAGGTACCGGATTCCCCATCGAATATCGAAGCAGTCCGCTGTAAAGTGCTCACTGCACAGATACTGATGTCTACTAGGGGTCCACTGCTCCCTCTTCATGTTGCTCACCCATTTCTGAAGCCTGGACTTGTCTTGCAAAGGAAACCTTTGAGAGATAGACCGATAATAGAGAGCTTTAACTCTAAGCACTGGAGTGTGATTTGGATTAGCCCAACACTACCCTCGTGTCATTACAAGCAAGCGCTATGATATACTTAGGTGACATCCTTTTTGCACCTCCTGCAAGTGACATCTTTCACCAATTAAGCCAAGCAACACGTTACAGATTAACTAAAACAACAAAAACATACGGGTAGAAGCTGATTCTCTTGTTGTCTTGTCTTGATGCAGTCCCCCCACGGTTTCTGCAAACTCTCACAGCGCAGTAGCGTGGCATATCTGTAGTCAGACTACATGAAAACACATCGGCGAGACCCGTTCGAGGATACAATTAGAAAAAAAGAAAAAAAAAACCCACAAACCAGCTCGTAGATGATTATATCCGGTTTGTGGCCCTCGTAACGGAAGTGACGTGTACAGCATTTATTTTCTTTTTTACTGGCTCTTTCACGTCATCACTTATTAGAAATATTTGCATTGAAATTAAGATTCCCTATGAGGATATAACTTTTTAAAATACAATTCTTATTTTCATTATTTGTATTAAATAAAAACCTACAAAATAATAACGCACGCGCTAAATAAAAAAATGTACCGATGGCAAAACCTGTATAGGTCTTATGGCATTTGTCTATAAAGTACAATCGACGTTTTAATCTTTGAAATCTTTCATTTAAATTTACTATTGACTTTCAATGCTTCCGTTTTCCCCAACCCTCGGATTATTTAAGTATTCTAATTCTGCTAAATCGATTACGTCAAAATTGAATAGAAAAGCAAAGGCGGAAAAGATGAGCAGATTATTTTCTTGCGTTACCTATACCTACGTTCCGCCCTGGCCTTAAATCTTCCACGTGCGCATATTTTCCACCAATCACAACGGTCTGAATCACTGTGTTCGGAAACCCACCAATGGCGTTGCGAGTCGTGGTGTTACGGCTCAGGAATGCAGCTAGACAACAACTGTTAGCTTTCGTTTCACATCAGCTGAGCTGGAACCTCCGGCGATTAACACCAGTATCCCCGGGCTGTTTGTTACCTTGTATACAGGTAAGCTCTCAGTTTTAACTTAGCTACTTTAACTTAGCTGCCGCCGGTGGCTCTTTATAGGGTATAATTTACAAGCTTTTAAAAGGTCAAACTAGTTACTCCTCTTTTCCAGTAAAAGTTGTCATTTTTCTTGTTTGCGACGCCTTCTGCCTTCAGACTCGCTCGAAAGTTAATAACTGCTTGTATCATTTGACAAAACGGTAACAATTTTATCCTTTTAAGGCTTCAGAAGTGTTTCAGAATTGTGTGAAACGTTTTTAACACAGTTGTCTAAATGCTGTTCTCACAGACGGAAAGGTGTCTAAACCACCAGTATGGCCACAGCGCAGTCGACGTTGCTGCTAGCAGTGCATATTCTGCTCATCTCAGAGTTCATTCTGGCCAAAAGGGACTACTACGACATACTGGGGGTGCCGAGAGATGCTACCGAGCGGCAGATCAAGAAGGCCTTCCACAAGCTGGCCCTGAAGTACCATCCTGACCGAAACAAGGGGCCAGACGCTGAAGCCAAGTTCAGAGAAATAGCAGAGGGTAAGTTACACATTATGTCAGTCTGTATTGTTGGGAATAAGTCCTCATACAGTTGATCTAGAGACCTAAAAGCAAAGTAGTTGCTACTTAAAAGTTTGTTTTTAAGGATTCTGATGTTAGAGTGGACTTAAAGGGGAGGATCTGCCCCAGCAGTCGCACCTTTCCTTGTTTTTGTTGACGTAATTGCACACTATGGTAACGGCTAAAGGGTTACACGCCCCATTCTGTGCTTTTTGTAACTTATTTCCTAATGAATTTAATCTTTTATATATATTTGTGTCCTCCAGCATATGAAACCTTATCGGATGATAAGAAGAGGCAAGAGTATGACCAGTTTGGACATAGTGCTTCATCAGGGGAGGGCCAGAGAGGAGGAGACTACGACTTTAACCAGCACTTCAAGTCATTCAACTTTGATGACATTTTCAAAGACTTTGACTCTTTTGGTCAACAACAACAACACCACCAACACCACCAACACCACTTTCACTCCCACTCTAATTCCCACCACAAGAGACACTTTGACAGCCACTTCCAGGCTCATCGAGAGGCCATGAATGGGCACAGGAGGCAGTTTCAGCAGGGCAGCTTTGGCGGAGGACTATTTGATGATATGTTTGAGGACTTGGAGAAGATGTTTTCCTTTCACACGCACAGCTCCAGGACTGAGAACAGATTTCAGGGCTCAGGGAAGCAACACTGCAGGACAGTGACGCAGCGTAGGGGGAACATGGTGACCACCTTCACTGACTGCTCTTAAGACAGGCTGGATAGTCGGGGGGTTCTTTGTGGTTTTTGAAATTGAAAGCTAATTTATCACTTGGTGAAACAGAGTGGCTTTGTGTGGCTTTTTGTAATTGCATGTAATTTCCTGTATGAACAAATATCTAAGCTAGCCTGAAAAATGGCTGCTTCCAAGCAATAACTCATTCATGTTATTATTATAGCATAGTAATAAGTCTTAAGATCTGTCAGATACCTCCCTATCACCTCGCTTTCCAGGTTCGTTATGTTTACAATCTGATTCTCAGGCATGGCCTATGCTTAGTTTAAAAAGAGTACTTTTCTCTTGAGCAGTGAAGCAATTAGATGCGTTAGAATTCACATTTGTGAAAATGGGAAACCATAACTCTGCAGCTATATAGGCCATATTTTATTTTATCTCATCAATAGAAACCTTTTTCTCATCCAAAACCAAGACTTGCAGGTTTTGCACATTTGGTTTCCTGACAACCCCCCCTTTTTTTTTTCTTTATTTTGGTGAAAGGATACATCAACAATCAATTCTTCTAACTGCATTTGTGGATGCACTACATTCACCTGGAATGTGTACAGTTTGGCCATTATCAACTGTTACCTCGTTTAGGTTTTTTTTTGGTTGTTGTTGGGTTTTTTTCCTCTTCCAACAGAGTTGCATCTACCTTTTACTCAGTCAGGGTTGGAAATTAACATCAGTCCTATGACAAAAACTGGCAGACTTGGCCACAGGCAAAGTCGGCGGAGGTGTTTGCATGCGTGATTGCTTGGCTGTTTGGTTGTTTGTTTTTTGTTTGTTTGTTGTTTTGTTTTTTCATTTGGACCAGCTATCACAAAAACCGCCCAGGCTCATCTGCCAGTCAAACTGAGTGGTCTGACAAGTTAAGATTCCCTAAACTGATCATAATGTGCAATATTTAGCACCTTTGCTCTTCTATAGACCGTGCTGTGTAAATGTCATTGTCTAATGTCTGCACTTTGAATGCGTGCGTGAGTGTCTTGAATATCAATTGGTTGCAAAATGTTTGGAGAATGAATAAAAAAAATATATATTAGAGGAAAGTTTGTGCTTGTGTTTAACTGAATTGGGAAAGGAGGGAGGCAGTAATGCACTTGTGTAATTGGTCTTTGTTATTAATGTGCTTTATTGTTTATGATTGTATTCTGATTATAAAATATGAATTATATTTGCATGTGAAACACACACCAATGCAAATGTAGAATAAGTTCCGTGTCATGTGGTCTCATGAGATGAGATGCAACTAAAAGGAGAAGCTGCTTGATGTGTGAAGCCACAAAGTGCAAGTTGCTGCACTGGCTTCTGCACACTGTTTTACATGCATACGTGTTATACAGTCTCAGATAAACAGACTGTATCAGTTTTGTACAGTAAGTGACACAGTAAGTTTACATAACACAACACAACTGCACATTGGATGATTCTTATGTGAAACTTAATAGTTGATTTGACTGAAAGACAGTTTTTCACGCTCTTTTTAAGGGTTCAAATGCATGGATCATAACCCACCCCCCAATTTTACTTATTTGGGTCACCCAGTTACCAAAATACACAAGTAACCCACTTTCAGTTTTGCCAGCATTTTACCTGATAAGCAATTCTTGCCTACTTCCAGTAGAGGTCATACTTTCTTAAAGCAGGAAAAGTGTTTTGAGCGCAATCTGCAACATTCATTGGATTATCAGGTGACACAGAGGCAACCTTGACAAAAATAACAACATGGTGGGTTAGAAACCTAGGTAATGCTTTTTATTAAAATTCGGGCTATAATGCATTACAAGAAGGGTGAACCGTTCCTTTGATCGTATACTCATAGGGGTCTTTTGAAACACTCTTTGTCTGCTCCCTCACCCAGTTCTAATTTTCCATGGGAGACCCTACCAGGGTGCAAAATCTCTCTGACAGCATAGCTCCTGGGATCTCTGGGACACACAAACCCCTCCACCACGATAAGGCAGCGATTCACAGAGGGGTATCTGTGACACCTATACACTCAATACAATACTTTTATTAAACACTTTTAAATAAAGTCAAAGTTTGAATTTCTCTCATAATCCACTGAGAGACTATATTTTCAAAAGAAAATCTGCTGTTGTCAAAATACTTATGACTCTAACTGCATCTCCTCTCCTTAAATCCCCTCCCTGTTTTATCTTTCAATCTTGAAATCTAAAGTTGGCTTAATTCCATATTTTTACCCACTGTTTATCCAGCACAGCAATAAATAACATAATTATTTCATTTCATGAAATGGCAAACCATTTTCCTACAATTTCTCTATGTCATTTAGTGGGTTTTCCTCAAGTACAAAGCAAAAGCTTAACTTAATTGCTGTACCTGAGAAACAAACATAGCAGGAGGGTTAAAGCATTAAAACCGAATGCTCATGAGATCCAACCACAAGATAATAAAATAAAATATTAAAAACAACAAGAGAGAAAGTAGAAGAAAAAAGACTGTGGCATAGCAATCCCCTTAACGTCTCCATTTGAAAAAAAAAAAATGAAGTGAGCATGTGTATTAGCAGAGAGCTCTGTGGTGGTAAGGTTGGCTAATAAGTAATAAACACTGGTTAACAAGTAATCCTGATGGCCATCATATTTTTCATAAATTTGAATAAGGTTAGAGATCCAGCACACCATGGTCTTGCAAATCTGCAGCGTCACAGAGCTAGCATGACACTGCAGATTTCTTTATAAAGCTCTAATAAAGCATTTGTTATCTTGTCTTTTATGACAACACACATATAACACTGTGATACAAATGAGGTAACTGGTTTGGTTAAATTGTAGGGCAGGCTCTGCTAGTTGGGCATGAAGCCATCTCACATTAAATACATATTATTTTTTTATGCAAAATACTCAAGCGTTTAATATCTATTTCAGAGATGGTATTTCCCTTTCGATGTAAGTGGCCTCCTTGACTCCTACAAATACTTCCTTACTATACTTAGGTACAAATTTCAGGTATCTATACTTTACTTAAGGTAGTTGTTTTTCCTGACCACTTTTACTCCCTACATGTTTTAACAAATATCTGTGCTTTCTTC